GTCCTATATTTTTTTTAATGCCAAAATCAAAATAAATAAATAAATAAATAAATAAAAAAAAACAAAACAAATTAAAGTTTCTTATATCAATTCTTTTTAATTTTATCTATTAACCATTTTAATACAAATCTAGATTTATTAATATATTATATATTTTAACTAATTTTTACATATTATAAGCATTTATAATATGACAACGTAATCTCAAAAATAAATAGTTGGGCTCTTGAGCTGCGATTTTTGATTATTCTCGTATATTGCTATGCAATTTACATACAAGTATTAAGGTTGGTAATTCAATGATATTTTGATTGTCTTTAGTGGTTGGTGAGCTTTTATATTGTTGCTTGTTTATATAAGTTTGTGCTAGTTTGTCCGCAATATTTGAGAATTTCAATAGAATTCTTGATATAATTGTGAGTATTGATGTAGAACTAATGTTAAGATAGAATAGTGAGATTGCCATGATATGTTCATAAAAAATTATGTAAGTTGTAACAAAAAATTTTACCTTATTTAGATCAAAAATTTGATATCTTTTGATTTAAATATTGTAATCAATAAATATATATATAGCTTTATAATTGCATCCATCTTTTATTTAAATTTCTTCTTTATATAAACATAGATAACACATTCAAATATTTTGAATTTTCTTAAATTGATTAGCTTATCAATGCATATTTCATTAAAAAAGATCCTTACTTTATTCTTGAAAGACTCACATTTATCAAATAAGTTGTTCGAATAAATTCAAGCTAGAGTTGATGTAGTAAGTTTTAGTTAATGGTCATGCTTCTTGTACAATCAATAATAATATAATACTTATGCTTCACTATTTTATTTTGATATGGAATGTATAGAATTGTTAATTAATGTGTGATTCCTTCTTATTTACAAAAGTTGTTGAACTTGTTTGACATGAATTACCTCCCTAATTAATTTATAAAAAATGTATCTTATTATTACTCTTTTTGATTTGATAATAGAATTCTTTGAATTTTTTAAATATGTTGCTCTTTTCTTTGAAAAAAAATCCAAGTTTTATAATTAAAGTCATTAGAAATTGTAAAGAAATATTTAGAACCACCAACTAAAGTTATTTTGAAGGATCCACATAAATTGGTCTGTAGGAGTTTGTGCCTCTTGTTCATTCCAGTGACACTTATTTAAGCCCCTTTGTTCAATGTCACTTGGCAAGCATATATTCTTGATATAACTTTTTAAAATAAAAATTTATAGTAAGTTTTTAGTAATGACATCTTAAAACAATGTATTTAATGATTTATAGTTGATGTAGCCAAGTCTTTAGTGTTGGAATTGCTCACTAGAGTCTTTGATCATGTTCATATGTGTTTTTGATGTTTCAAGTTTGTAGAGGCTTAAATGTGGATCTTTGATTTTCTTCACAACAATAATAGGTAGCAACCATTCTTTCAAAATCCAATACTTTTTAAAGTATAAAATTACAATGTAGCCTAAATTGGCTATCATACCAATTAATAGCATATTTTTCTTTATACTAGATATGTAGATGACATTCTAAATCAACTAATTTATTCTTCTATAACTTACTATAATTGAGCCTTAGCTTGCTAGAAGATAAGAGAATCCATTGATAAAACATACCTTAATAATTCTTGTTGCAAGAATGATTTTTCAAAAGTTTATATTATTTTTATTGATATGAATCAAAGCTCTACTATCAAGATACCAATAATTTTTACCTTTGTCCAAATTCATGGCAAGCATAGCTGTATCAAAGAATTCCATTTCTTCATCTTTTTGTTTTTCTATTGCCATTGGAATTTTTTTTTGTCGTGTGATTTTTATTTATAGATTGAGGTTGGTCTTCTTAGTCAGCACAAGCATGTATACTCTATTATCTAGCAGCTTCATTAGCCACAATTATTACAATATTTATTTTTGTAGTTTGTAGCTCATGAGTATGTTGAATGAAATCTGAGTTACAATATGTTGTCCATTTCTTTAAGACGTCTGATTTTCCTTCCGTTGTATCTTTGCTTGATAGGATATTGTCTTTATTTTCTATAATATAATACTTTTTAGTAATGTGTTGATTTTTCTAATCAATGTATTTTTTTGACAAGCAGCTTCTTGATTAGTTTTTTAAAATTAGGCAGCTCATTAAAGACTAAGAGGCCTTGGATAAGACCTTTGTACTCTTGTAATAGGCCATTAAAGGCAATGAGAATTAACTTTAATTTTGGTACTTTATTGTATTATGTATATATTTGTTTGAAAATACACTAGACATGTAACTGTAGAAGATAAGAAAAAATACAACAACAAAATCCTATCAAATCTAATAGAGTCTAAAATAAAATTTAAATAATCCTTAAAAATGCCAATCAAATTTTAACCAATCCAAAAGAAATTTAAAAGAAGTTACAAAAAAAAAAAAAAAAAAAAAAAAAAATCATAAATTAATCTCAAAAAAAATAAAATATAAAAATAAAAATAAAAATCTTAAAAAAATAAAAATAGTCTTCAAAAATATTTAAAATAAAATATTTAAAAAAATCTTATAGAAATATTTAAAATAAGTTTTTAAAATAAATCCTAAATAAATTCTAAATAAATCTTAATCAAATTCTAATTAAATCCAAATTAAATCTTAATCAAATCTTAAATCTTAGACCAATTCTAATAAAATCTTAATAAATCCTAACCAAATTCTAATCAAATCCTAAATCCTAAATCCTAACTAAATCTTTAAATAAATCCTAAGCAATCTCAAAAAAATTCTAAGTAAATTTTAATTATTTACTATTGTTATTTTAAAACCTTAATAAATATTAATTAAACCATTGATTTTAAATAAATTTTTACTTATACTTCAATCCACAAGTAATTAATAAGCATATAAAATTTGAAGAAAATCAAACTCATCAATTTAAAGAAAAGCTCTTAAAACCTCTTAGATGTTAACTACCCTCTTTCTCTGATTTGAATGTTGATCTTCTAATAATGATTTTTTCTTGCTAAACTATTCAAATACTTCAAAAATTGGCTTTTATTTAAGTATCTAAGTCTAAATTTTTTTTTGATTATTTTTAGCTTCTATGAAACTAGCAAATATTGTAAGATAGTAAAAACCCTCATTGATCCTAAATTTCAATTATCCACGACTATTATCTACAAAAACTCTTATAATCTTCAATCTAACTATTTGATTGACATCGAATTTTTCACACAATCATATAAACACAATGACAAACTAACAAATTTTCATCCATAAATATGCTATAAAATTCACAAAATCATCAAATTTGTGATTTTTTATTTTTTATTTTTTATTTCTTAAAATCCAAAATTGCTGAATATATCTTTCCCTTTGAAAAGTCCTTAAAACCTCAAGATGCCTTCAAATCACATAAAATTAACTCTTAAAAATCCTTTCATAAGTCTACTTTCAAATCTTATTCTCTAATCTACCAAAAAACCCTAAAGTCACCATAGATATACATTTTATGCTTTGGGGTCTGATTTTGACCTTTTTCACAACCAATCATCTTTGGGTATTAATCCTTCATATTTTGAGGTGATTTTCGCTAAAATTTATTTTGAATCCCTTCCTAAAAATACCTATATCAATTATATATCTCATTTATTTTGATTTGACTTACTTAAGCCTCTACAAAGTAAATAGAAGTATCTTCTTTAAGAAGTCAATATTATCATTTATTAATTTTTATTACCTTCTTATCTATTATCTATATTTTAAAATAATTTCTTAAATTATTTTTATTTAAACTCCTCTATAACATATTTTTTTTCTTTCTTCTTTCACTATATAGTCGTATCACTATATAACAAAGTCTTCTCTTGATGATTGCAATTGTATTATAAGTTTGCTAATCTTTTGTCATTGTCTATCCTAGTTGAAAGTAGCTAATTGAGTAACAACATAGTCCTTGTGGTATTCTTGTTGTCAAAGAGTTTGTATAAGGTTTACCATGCTTATATTAAGTCACCAATATTCGCTACATGCTGAATAATGTGATCTTTAACAGACATTATTAACATAGCCATTGCCTTATATTTGTCATACTGGTGTTGTTGATGTGCTGAAATGTTGGTAGCATTGATAACTTTGGCAGTGTTCTTTTCTTATTGAGAATTAGTGTTTTGTGGACCAACAATGTTTCAAAATTTATCTTTCATGAAAGGATATGCATCTTTACCTTCTATATGAAAAAGTTGTTGGCTCCTCCTAGCTTGTGCAACTTAATTATTGATGAAATTAACTCCATGTTCATGACACTTGAGACATCAATCAACTCTTTCTTTTATCTTGAAGTTGCCTATCTTTAGTTGAAGGGACTGCTCTGGATTTTGATTGCTAACTTTAATAGTTTGTCATGGCAATCTATTCTCTCTTGTACCTTACTTTCTATTTATATAATTTTAAAAAAACTAGCTTATTTTTTGCCATCTAGTTGTTTCTATTAGTTACAAGAATGTGCTTGTACCAATGTTGCCATCTAGTTTAGAAACTTGCTTTGATACCATGCATACTTTTAAATGACTAATATATATATATATTTTATCACACTCCTCAAATAAAAAAATTAGATTTTAGATACTCCATGTTCAAATTTAACTGCTATTTCTTTTTCTTTTTCTTATTCTTTACTTCCTTTAACATAACATGTCATTTATTTTTGAAAAAAAGATTTAGGTGCAAAATCACATATTTTTTAAACTAGAAAAAAACGATACAATAAAATGATAAAATTCACGACTTAAGAAATTTAATATGGGAAAGAAATGAAAATGTCAAAGCTCGTCGAGCTTGTCGCCTTTTGTTCCTTACCAGGTTCCTACATTCTCGTCTCGAACCCTTCTAGAGAACGTGGGGAACAATTACAGCGTGGCATCCTAGTCAGCATAAGCTGCTGTCGTGGACGTTGGACATACCAGGATGGAGACACTAAGTTAGGGTTAAGGGTATCATAATGACACGATAGCAGGAAGAAGATACTAAGTTAAGAGGCAGTTTTTGTGTGCAGTTTGCGCAGCTTCATTCCATGTTAAAGCTCATTAAACCCTTGGCGAGGAGGATTCATGGTTGCACCCTACCGATCTTCCTCGCGTCTTTAAACCCCTCCCCCCCCCCCCTTTCCTATCCACACCCGCCTTCATCGCAAGGTTACATCAAGGCCACTTTGGTAGGTGGATTTTTGCGTAGTTTCTGCGATTTGCGTCGGATATTCTCTTTCGAGGTACGAGTTAGGCGGGGGATTTATCAGTAATTTTAATTTTATTTTAATTTTATTTTCTTGTTTTTGCGCACTGGAAGAGTTTTTGAGTGATTTATTTTGGAGAATTTTGTGTTAATTGGATTGATTTGGAATATTTGTGCGGGATCTGAAGGTTAGTTAAGAATGCGTTGAACTTTGGTGCAGTTATAAGAATCCTGGGACTTTTGGGAGAATTGGCCGGAGTTTGGTGTGTTTGTGGAATGCGATTGCGGTTAGGGGGGATTGTGTAAAGCTAATGGTTGGGAATGATGTCTAAAGTGTCATGGATGGTGGATTTCGAAGGATTTGTGACGGAATTGTAGTGTGCGTAGGTGGCTATGGCGGCAGTAAGAGCAATTGTAAGAGGAGGCGCCCTCCGCTTGCCACAATGTGCGAGTTCAGTGGTGGTTAAGGGGTACCAGAGATCGGCATTGTCATCCACCGCTTCCCTCTGCTTGAAGGTAGCACCGCTGCGGCAGTCTTTCGTACAGGGGCCCATTGTGCAGACCCGGAAATACCAGGGCTGCAGGGTTGTGTCTGCAGAATACTCAGTGGTGGAGGAGGGAGCGGCTGGGTCCTTGGAGTACAGGGTCTTCTTCAGTGACAAATCTGGCAAAACTGTGAGTATCACGTTAGCGAGAGTTCGTGTTTTTGGCTTTTCACCCTTGAAATTAGTGTATGATTTGGCGCGATCAATTGCATTGTGTAATTTACAAGTGTAGTCTAGAAGCGGAATTTCATTAACCAAATTAAGTTATCATCTTAAGTGCCATTAATTTCTCAACACTACTCACAACCACGTCGGAAAGTCATGCATATACTCTTTTTACCAGGGATTGAATTAGTTAATGCTGTATATATTTGGTCAATTCTTGGTATCATCAAACTTGTTGATGTCGTCAGGGATTGCTATTAGAGTTGATCGTGTAACTTTTTCGTAGTCTAATTATGATACTAATTGTCCGCAACTGCTGAGTATCACTTGATCAATAATCGGTTATTTATTACTGCGAATCATTCAATTATGGCACGATATATCCGAAACTTTTATTACGATTTTGATGTGTTAGTTTACGAATGCCTTTAACAGACATTGACTGGACTTGAACCTCCTATAGCTGGTGATAGAAAATCTAGGTGGTGAAAAGTTTTTGTTAGTGTGCGCTCTCATGTTGAATGTGTGCAATGCGTTCCTTGATGAAGTTTTTTGTGGCTACGGTTGCGGCGTAACAAGTGGTAGTGCTCCGTGTCCTTGGCGTTTAGCATGCTGCGTTCAGCCTCACTACCTGGCTACTGTCTTGCGTTGAGGTGATTGTTGAGAAATCAATGGTTTTTATGGAGCTGCAGATCTCACCATGGCACGACATTCCACTCTACGCTGGAGACGGGCTTTTCAATTTCGTTGTTGAGATCCCGAAGGAGACTAGTGCGAAGATGGAGGTGGCCACTGAGGAGCCCAATACTCCCATCAAGCAGGACACCAAGAAGGGAAAGCTCCGATTTTACCCGTAAGTCTTGGCTGCTCAAAAATGTCGCTTCCTTTACTCTAAATGTTACCCATGGAGGAACAGTGAGGTGCTCTTTCTTTGGTATGTATGGTCTCAATATTATCATTATATCGCACTTTTTGGTATTGGTATAGCCAATTCTCCACATTATATCGCAATCGGCTCTATCATTGACCTCTATTGTTGGATGGAAATTGGTATAGCTACAACATCAACTGGAACTACGGGCTTCTTCCTCAGACATGGGAGGACCCTTCTCACTCCAACCCTGATGTAGAGAATGCTTTTGGTGACAACGATCCAGGTTTGTTAATCCGCGCATGTGTATACTACTATCCCACATTTTGATCTTGGTAATGTATCATCTCAATAAGGGGTGCAGTATACAGCAATTTGTGGTGGTGCAACTACTAGTTCCGTCGATCCAGTTTCTCCCTTTTAATTAGTTGTTTGTGACGCTATTTTCGGTTGCAGTCGACGTTGTTGAGATTGGAGAGAGGCAAGCCAAAATTGGAGAGGTCCTTAAGGTGAAGCCCATCGCAGTCTTGGCCATGATTGACGAGGGTGAGCTCGACTGGAAAGTTGTGGCCATCTCCACCGACGACCCCAAGGCTGATCTGATCAATAATGTAGCCGATTGCGAGAGGCATTTGCCAGTGAGTCTTCTGTGATTATGCCATCTTCCCTCAGAGTAACATTTCTGATAGGACCATAGACCCCCATGCTTATCATGTTAATGAATTTTGTCTTTCCAAGTAGAAGACATATCATTCTGTACACACAGTGCTTTACTGGAGGCATCCATCAAGTCACATTTTCCCGTGCTAAGTTGTGTGAATCATATCGGTCTCTCGAGAGGCTCTGATTTCAACAGGTTTGAGATATTTGTTATCCTGGAATGATACGAACCTATGTGCCCGCAGCATCAAAATTGTTTGGATAGGGTATTTGAACGAGTAGATAGAGTTTTTCTTTAATTAACTAGTGATAATTTTCTCATGTTCTTGTGTGTGGGAATGCAGGGCACTTTGACCGCAATCAGGGACTGGTTCAGGGATTACAAGATCCCAGACGGAAAGCCCGCCAACAAGTTTGGACTTTGCAACAAGCCCGCCGACAAGGTGAAGTTTTAATCAGGGCTCAAATGTGGATTGTTTTGAATATCTACTTTGAATCCACTGGTTTCAGTACTTGCTTCCTCTCTCTTTTTCTGGTGTTTTTGCATTTAACATAATTCCTTCTTTGGCCCTTAATTTTGTAGGACTATGCACTGAAGGTAATTGCGGAAACCAATGAGGCATGGGCAAAGCTGGTGAAGAGGGTTGTCCCAGCTGGAGAACTTTCCCTTGTTTAGATCCATTTCACACCCTTCTGGACCCGGTGTTCAATCTTGCAACCAGATTAGATCCATCACAGTAATCTATTACTAGCTCTTACAGAAGCTTCAGTTTTGCTAGAGTTTAGTGTTGCGGTGTTTGACTTCTGTATCTCCTATCCTCCGAGGAATTTGTTATTTCATGCAGTCATTTGCAGCAGTAGCATCTTTCAACCTCGGTAGGTTGTGTAAATGTATTGACTTCCTTTTTAGGAGGATGAGAGCTGTTGGAAGTGTGTAGTTGTGGTAACATGTGCTTTACTACAAGCCAGCTTCTACCATGTACTTGAGTAAATAATACAACAGGGCAGAATTTTGCAGTGGATACAATTTCAGTGGCATTGTTCTTTAGCTACTGTTCAATTTTGGAACAGGAACATGAACTTCACCTTCAAAACGCCAGTCTTAGTCCAAGTTGATGTATTGCTAGTTATAACATCTGGGCGATGTTTGACGAATTTGTCAACAAAAAACAAATCATTGCATTATCGTTTCTCTACTTGCAACAGGTGAAACTGAATTACAACAGCATGACAACGGGTGAGATTGCTGCAGCCTTTTGATGGTTTCCGTTTGCAGTTCGAAACATTGGGGATCTTGAGTTAGGGCATGCAGCTGAGGCGATTGTTGGACTTCATTTAAATTTCTCACTTGCACTTCAGTCGCCCAAGTGGTTTAGTTTACACTCATGCCAAATTGGGAGCAGATGTTCACATCCACCATCATCTAGTATTATCTGTGTGTAAAACTAGAGCTCGTGCATCCAGATCATTCTCCAGTAAACAAAAGTTTTTTTTTTTTTCCACGAGGATGTTAATATAAAGTTTTTTGAATTTGTTTTTAAACCTGCCTGCCTTACAAATTACAAACCTCATAAATGCGTCTGTAGAGATGAATGGTTGTTGCTTAGTCAAACTGGTGGCTCTATAAATGGATCCAGTCAAACCCCTCAGAGATTACTCGGTCCCATTATTTAGTCAAGCAGAATCTTCCAGTAGGACATCACATTTATCAGGGATTTTGCAACTTGTTCTGGTGGACTATGGATGTGCCATTACTTCTGAATGTACATGAACAAATTAATAAGATTTGTGGAAAGGTAAAAGTTGCATTACGGAAATTTACTTTACATCTAAAAACAAACCCATTGACAGTATATGATGAAACCATATGACTTCTTGTATGACAATGTGTTTTGTTCATTTGTCTGTTAGTTCCTTTTTCTTCTTTTTTTCTTGTTTTTTTTCTATCAATTTTTTAATTTACAACAGGATCTTGATTAATTGATCTTGGAATAGTACTGATAGGATGACAACCCAAGAGCGTTTCCATAAAAGAAACTCAGTTAAATTTTGATTTTGATTATCTTTTTACCAACACTAAAGTTATTCTTTATAAAATTTATGTTAATGCTATATCATTTTGCCCCATGACCCATTTCATACCAAAAATGGTCATACATTGGAGTGAATGTATACAACTTCCATCAGCATCATAAATGGCTTAAAATTCATGTCAACCATTTATGTGCCGGTTGGAAGGCCTAACATGTGGCACTGGACTACCTCAATTCAATTTAGTTTTTAATGTAATAAAGATTCATCATTACCCTTTAATCATGATAAAAATGATTAAATTTTATTATTCTCTTTAATAATCAATGACCTTGTATACATGCCATTTTAAATATTTTGAATACATGTCATTGGTGAAAAGGTTTTAATAAATATCCAAACAGCTTTATATATCCAAAGCTTATGGACATAAATAAATGAATAAATAAGCTTGGTCATTGTTGGCTTCATTGGTCATACTTCAATTCTCAGTATTAGTTAATCTTTTAGTAAATGTTGGCAATGAAGTAGGGGAAATCCCTTAGAAATTAACCTTATAAAACTAGGGTTCTACTACTAATTACATCCATGATCCTACACATAATTTTTTTTTTGAGGAAAGTAAAAAAGGAAACTGGGCAGGAGTGGGTGGTGGGCATAAATGCAAATCGCCTTAATTTAGGGGCAGGGCAGGGAGATCAACAACTGGCTGATGCTCCATTGAGTGTGAAGACCAAAAACTCCATCCCAGAATGCCTGGACAGTGGGAGGATGGACAACACCAAATAGCAAGAGTAGGCACAATTGTTTTCTACATACTTTCTTCCCCTGACCTTCAATGATGTGGTCGGCCCACATGTGGAGAGCTTAATGGCTCTCACCCACACTCTTCAATGGCCTTTGTAGTACTACATCTTGAAGGGAACATATATATATATATATATATATATATTACTTCTTATTATTGTTGTTGTTATTATTAACATGGAATTTCAAATGATGATTTCAATTCTGCATAGGAGGTTTGAAAAGAATCATCACGGGGTTAGCTATCTCATCAGAACTCTCAAGCATCATTAGAACTTCATCTCATTTTTCATGTGAAATTATGTATATATATGTATATGTTGAAAATTAATCTTTTCTTTGCTGTTAAAGTGTGGCTGTGCCCATAGAGCCTTTGATTGTAATACAGTGAGCTTTGTTGTTTGGGTTTCAAGGGCTTTGGTTCAACTACTCTAGAAAGCTAGTGCTTAACCACTGTTGGTTTTTATTTGCATGGATAGAGGCTCTAACCATACTTCTTCACATTGTTATTTGCAGAGATGATCTGTTAAAAAGTTTCTATAAAAATGATAGAATTTCTATTTTATTTACAATGTATTTTTGGTTGAAGAATGGATTTGGAGGGTTGTTGCAGACATGGGATTAAATTTTTATTTCCTAGTGCACTAGGTGCCACATAACATGTCTGGATAGCTGAATTTTTTATATGTTTGTTGGAAGAAAGGACATGGTGGTGGTTGTCTCATGCATGGAGCAATCTCGTCTTTGCATGTCAACTCTGGCACAGACAGAAGCAGCCACATCATGACACAAATCATAGGAAAAGATAGAAAGAAAAAAAAAAAGTAAAAATCATCTATATATATATATAAAAAAAAAAACTTATTGCTGCGTTCAATTTACATTCTGCCACCATTACCTGTGGCAGGGAAAAAAATTATGTGACTTCGTTGTTCCATTAGGCTGGAACTTTTTTTTCTAGAACCAACCCAATTTCTAGTTTTTGATTGTTCTTCTCAACTGTGGTGGAAAGTTTTGTAGTCTACTGCATCACTTAGTACAAATGAAGTACATGATGTCTTCTACATTTGAGAGGAACCCCTTTTTTTTCCATTGAGGAGCTCATCAATAAGCACCTTCAGCAAAGGCTTGGGTACAATGTCTTCCTTTCAGAGCTTCCTTATTGAAGAGTGCCGTATGCAACACACACACACACATGTATATATATATATATATATATTTGTTTTCTTCGGTTGCGTGTAGAAAGATGATGAATGTTGCGTAGAAGCCGTGGACAGTGATGGCTAGCAGGAGCTTGTGAGGGGACGGTCGGTCAGAGTGTGAGTAATTTCGTCGTAGTTTTCAGCTGTGACCGGCTCTAGTGTTTTACTGGATCCTGATTACTCTTTGAAGTGAAGGGAAAAGAAAAAAAAAAAAAAAAAAAAAAAAAAACTTGGCATCGTGAAATGGTTCATTAGATCTGAACAATGACCATCTAAACTTGGCCAGCGCAACTGGGCTACTGTGTCAACGTTTTTCCTGTTGACCTCATTAGACAGAAGGAGCAGAAGCTCGAAATCAGTTCCAAGAGCCCAGACTGTCTTTAATGAGCTCACGGACACGAAAGCAGCACTGTTCACAGTCACGATTGAAGCTGATTTCGGTGGGGAACAATTTAGAAGGGCCGTCGGAGTTGATTGCCTATACCGCGTTGTAAATTCTCCTCTTAATCGGGGAATCACGCATGTCTTCTATACTTCCGAGCCTATCCGTATCTCTCCCTGGATACCTAGGTCCATGTCTGCCATACTGTGTTCATCGCCAGACTTGCTGGTCTGAACTTGTTTTTGAGCTGGGAACAAAATGTACCGGGCGGCGAGAGCGAGCGGTGTCGCTGAGTACAAAACGATCTGAGGTAGGTTGTGTTGAAGCAGGCTCTGCTAGGCAGTCAACTGCAGGTTTTTCTGAGGAGACCTTGGAGATCTAGTTCAGTTTGCATTGTGAGAGGCAAGATTTGCTCGTTTAGTGTTAGTTTTTCTTCTCTGCTTAACCAACTTCCAATGTTTCTGCATGCTACAGTGCTCGAGAAGCTGAAAGACCTCTGACGACCGGCATCCGATTGCTTACAAAGATAAATCGTCAACCTTAAGTTACAGTTGAATGTAAGAGTGTTGGTCAGCTTAATATACAGACTTAGGATGAATTGAAGAGAAGTTTCTAAGGGAGCTTGACTATATCTTGGTACGCACTCAGTCAAACTATAGACATACAGTTCGTATATGGGTTTAGAGATTGCGCATTCACAGTACATTCCTAGCAATTTTCTGAACTTAAAGCTGTCCTTAAAACTATCAAAATATCTCACTACCCATTCTTTGATGAAGCATTTCTATCAAAACATGTAGTGCGGATATATGTGATGCGAAGAGAAGGTTCTACATAAACTAATGTATTTTCATGAACTTATATTAGGTTCTTACTAAAAAAATTGCTATTTCATTCTGCATCAGCGTAGTTGTCAGGAGGTGATTCACGCTCCTTACCCACAGGCAAATGCTCTGATGATGCCTGTGTTAATCTAGTGACTGAATCCGGCTAATTATTTGTCATACGATTGTCCAGTGACAAGGAGGCCAGAGTTGTATGAGCCTCAGGGCGGATAAAACTCGCACTCTGCCAAGCACCTCTTAGAGATAATCCTCGAAAAGAACCTTTTGTAGTGACGCGCATTAATTTCTATTCCAACTCATTTACAAACCTGCACACGATGGCTTTTGGAATCGGTACCTCTTTCAATGCTGGGGAGGGTGATGAAGAGTATACACGAGAGAATACACATGGGGAGAATTCATCAGATATGTCATCCGATCCTGAAGCCGGTGAGGTTATCAGAGCATTGGAGCCAAACGTTTCTCGATCAGGGAAGCGAACATACGGCGTCCCAGTGGAGGATATGCTCATAGAACGTCGACGCAAGAATGCTAAGCTCGACGAGCAACTTGCTATCTTGCAATCAATATTACCGAGCAGTCGAGAGGTACACATACATACCGACTAATCTAGCTTGAGAAACGCTATTTTGGGAATGAACTTACCGATTTCGAAGTGCTCATACGTCCAATTTCCAATGCTTCAGACTGTCCAGAGGATTCAAAATCACACGTTGCTGACAGTGCAACCTTTGTGGAAAAGTGGATGTCAGCCCAGGCTGAAAGAGTGTAATATTGTCCACGCACTGGTCTGCCTTGAGATTTGTGTGGCTCTAGTCTGAGTTTGAGAAGTCTACCCATTCTCAGGATGAGAGAGAAACTCGTGTGATGAACACCTACCAGCACTTAGCAAAAGTCTTAAAAAAACATGTAGATAATCTTAATAGAGAACGTGTTCATTCCAGAATAACCCTGCAAGCAAAGGTAAAGGGGCGTTCCCTCCAAATGCGCAGGTTGGGGGGCAAACAACAGACATCGGTTCCACAAACCATGTTCTTTATGAGCATCCACAGGTGCGTCCTCATCCAAAGGCATAGAGCGAAGAAAACCTCGTCGGCCAAGTATCCCAAATGATCTAGATGAGCTAGTTGACGCATTGCTTTATTCAAATGTTTCAAACAATTTTGATTATTTATGAAGCCTTCGTGGAGCCTACTTCGCATACCAGCTAATCTCGACTAAATTAGATTAGCTGGTATGCGAAGTAGAAGGCTTGTTGGTGATACTGAGGTAGATTCCATAGTCCAAAATGCAACAAGATTGACAAGATGAAGTTAACTCAAATGACTGGCTAGTGCACCACCCTGAACTCGTTAATCATCGCACTCGTGATAGATCACCTTAACAGACAACGAATTGTGAAATAGGTGGAAGTGAAACGCGTCAATGGGAGATTGGAGTTGTGCATTGCTTGTGTAAACCGGCCAGGGCTTTTGATCGACATCCTTGCCGCGCTTGACTCGAAGAGCATCAGTGTAATGCAAGGCAGTATCATGTGTTGCGAAAACGTTTCCTTCCGAGCTTTCAGCCTGGAGGTAAGCTACCCAACTGGTTTAAAGACAACGTTTTCTTAAACAAACTGGAATGAATCGTGCATCTAATATGAAGACAGAAAAATAGAGTCCCGGCTGAAGCTACTGATTTTTCTCGTGAACATCAAAACTGTGCTCCACAACACCTAGAATTCCAACTTTGTTCACATTGACGTAGAATATCGGAACAGACAGAAGTACGAGCTTGACATTGCCTAATGTGGCACCGTTGGAGATGCTAGAAAGAGACCATGCTGCTACACGCTGGCCCGGAGTGCCTACCTTTGGAAGCAGAAGAGGAGGCAGTAAAAGAGCTCATCTTCCGAGCCATCCGTCAAGATCTTTCTGAGAATGATCCCAAGTGACTGAGTTGTTGGAATCCAGTTGTTTTCTTCTCCATGGAAACTCTAGAAAAGTGGAGAGTCAACAAACGAAAAATACTTATATCAGAATCAGAACTGGGTATCTAAATTGTTAGGACAGTGCTTCAACGATGTGATTTGCAAGCATTCGGTTGTAAGCATGTAATGAGCAGCAAAGAGTAGCATTCTGTTTCGTTGAGGGTGCTCTAGACTTTCTTTCTGGATAGTACTCTCATTATATATGTAGTTTGTCTACTTGCATGGATGCTCACCAGTTTTCTATTGCACCTTCTGTGATCAGACTAAATGGCTGTTCAAGAGTTCTAATTCACATTGAATTCTACTATTACATCTTTTGATTGATTATTTTATTAGTTGTATATGTTTGCAATGTACCTTAGAACAAAGATAGCATTTGTAAATGTTGAAGAATAGAGTAATTAATTCATATTTATTTTAGTAATGTTCAATAGTATTATTTAAACTTTTTGTAAAATAAGTGGTTCTTTATACCCAAAAGCCCACTTTGAAAAATCATGGTTCAAAAGCTTGGTGAATAAAAATCCTATTTTAAAAGCATTATATTTTGGATTTAGTGTAAAGTGGGAAGAGGTCATAAAATATATTAAATCACTCTTTTATTATTATAAATCTAAATATATTGGTCTATATCTTGATTAAAAAAATTATAAGAAATATTTCAAAAACTAATTTCTAATTTTTATAGTTATCTTGAGCATTCTTTGATATAATTTTTTAATCGTTTTTTTTTTAAAAAAATCACTTTTTTGAGATAAGTTCAAAGGAAATTTTAAAAGACAATACTAGTTATGCTATGAAAGAAAAAAATATATTCTATTTTATTTTTTGTTCTTTGGGCCTTTCGACTTAATTTTTTAGATATAAGCCAAATCAAAAAGATATAAAAATTTTAACCAATTAAAAGATTAAGGTATTTTGTCACAAACATACATATTTACTTACATTAAAGAAGTTAGATAGAAATAAGTAGAAATAAGTAACTTTGATTATATCTTGTAGAAAAGTTTTATAGATGTGGATTTGACTTATAACATGTTTATAATCCACATGTTTATAATGACTTATGGTACAAGTTAGTCATATGGGACATATGTAAGAAACTTATCTTACAATTTTGACACTTGTTGAAGGCCTTATAGATTGTTGCTATGTAGCTTCTAATTAAATAGTATATATGGAGGTAAGTGTGAGGCCTTCTTCATTCTTATCAATGCCTTTCTTATTCTTAATCTTATTTCAAGAGTCTTTAGTCTTCTTGTCTTTGATAATAGCTATTCTAGTAATAATATTGAACTATCTTTGAAAAAATATCTATTCTTTTTTAGTGATATAAGAGTATGTTAAATTTTTAATTATTTTAAATTATGTTCTTAATTTTTTTTAAATACATTAATTTATTTTTCGTATTTTGTTTTGAAAGTAAGTAGATTATTTTACTTCTTTTATTATGCTTGAAAGCTTATATACTATCTACATTTAAATTAATATTTTTTATTCTTTAATATTGATTCTTTTCTTAAAGAGAGTACCTTACCTTTTTTTTTGAAATTTGTTATTTCATATTATAGGTTGTAAATTATCTTTATTTAATTTGACTTATAGATTTTTTTAAGTCATTTATTATAAAGATAGAAGAAAAAATTACAGTTGCTACACTTGCTAGAAGCAAGAATAGATTTTTAATTATTATTGACCTTTATAAACTTATAAATACTCTTAGGATAGAAATCTCACTTATTATTAATGTCAACCATAGAGGTACTATTCCTATGCTTATAGAAAAAGACAAGAGTAAAGTTTAATATCTATGCCAAGAAGCTATAAAATTAAGAAAAGTAAGTAGATCAACTTTACAATTGAATCTAAGAAGTCTCATTACTACAAATATAAGAGAGGCAAGAATTAATATGTCAAAGAAATTTGATAGTATAAATTTAAAATTTTGATGATTTCTACAATAAGTCAAGATTTATGTAAGTTTTCTTATATAGATCAAAAGAACTTCAAGTAGTTTATGTTATTATGTATTTTAAATTATCACTAAGCCTGTTAGAATATATCTATGTCAAGATTTGAATTTAAGATCACATATTAATTAAGAAAATAATAAGATTTGTCAAATTTTTTTTTTTTAGATATTCTTATCTTGCATCAAAATAAAAATAAAAATAAAAATAAATAAATTGATCAATAAAAAATAAAAAAAATAAAAATTAGAGTAATTTTATCATTTAATTATTAAAAAAATATTAAATATTTATTCAACTTTTATTAAGCAGATTCAATCAAATATGTCTTTAGATCTTCTTATTCATAATATTAGATATAATTTTTTAAAATCCCATAATATTTTTAAGTTTGAATTCAAAACAAATCTTATATATTTCAAGTAATACTTATATGTTCCAAAAAATGAAGCACCACTATGTATACTTTAAGCTTGTCACAATTTTTTAATTATAAAATATTTTGGATACGATAAGAATTTTGAATTAATATCAAGAGGTTTAGTGGCTTCAAATGTAAAAGACAGTTAAAAACTTTCTACAATCATGTGATTTTTGTTTAAGATCATAAATTCTTCATGATTGCTTTTATAGACTTTTTCAACTATTATCTATACCAAAACACGTATGGTTTTTTATTTCTATTGATTTTATTATGAAACTTTCAATCTCAAGTTCATATGATTTTACATTTATAATAGTAGATTGTTTCATTAAGATAGTACGTTTTGCATCATATACAAATCTATCACATGTAAAGAAACAATTCAATTTTTTCTTTACAATACTTATTGCTATTGTCATGGACATACATTGGAAGATTCTTCGAATATTCTTCTAGAATATTCTCTAAAGATTCTCTAAAGATTCCTTTAGAAGGTTCTAGAAGATTCTTAGAATATTCCCTAAAGATTCTCTTAGAAGGTTCTAGAATATTCTTAGAAGGTTCTAGAATATTCTGATAGATTCTAGGAAGTTGCTCGAGAAGTTTTCTAATTAGTAGAAGTTGTTGGAGAAGCGTCCTAGTTAGCGGAAGTAGCTCGAGAAGCTTCCTATTCAGTAGTATATATAGGAGTCGAGGCTGAAGGGTTCTTCAGTCTCGACAACACATCTCTTGGAGTTCTAGCTCACCTTTCTGGTGTTGTTCTTGTACTCATCTGTTTAATCTAGTTTTGCCACTTCTTCTTGAACTTCTTCTTAGATTTCAAGTCTCTATTTTGTGTCCGTGACAGTTTGTCGAGACTACATTTTCACTGGTATCAGAGCTAGTTCCTTCTTGTTAGAGAGTGGATTACCCCTCTTCTTGAAGGTGTGCTAGTGTTTTAGAGGTTGCGGATTACCCTCCTCTAAACTGATATCTCTTCTTCTCAATATTGGAGCCTTATTCTTCTTGGAGAGAGTGGATTACCCCTCATCTTGGAGTCTTAAGGCGTTTTAGAGGTTGCGGAGTACCCTCCTCTGAACCAATATTGTCCTCTTGTCAAAACTCTTTTTTCTTCTTTCTGAAGGTTAGCCGAAGGTTAAGACGTTAAAATGGCTGAAAGTTTGGAATCCAAACTAGACGCCATCATAAATGCTCTTGCCTCGTTGTCACATAGGACAACAGAGATCGAAGGAGTCATGGTAGGACTCCATAACAATGGAGCATCTGGGATAGCGCCATCTAAAGTATATCAACCTCAAACTTCTGCGCCAGAAGAAGCAGTTCTACCTCCATTTCAACAAGATCGAGTAGTCCTACAACGAAAGGAGCCTCGAGTTAGTCTTCCGGATAAGTTTGATGGAACTCGTTCCAAGTTTCGAGGTTTTGTCAACCAAATCAGGTTGATAACAATTTTACAGCCCGAACGTTATCCGACGGAGGAAGCGCGTGTTGGGCTTGTTGGAACCTTGCTTACAGCACAAGCTCTGTCTTGGTTTACTCCCTTGTTTGAGAAGCGATCGCCAATCCTGAGCAACTTTGAAACGTTCTTGGAGGCGTTTGCAGAAGCATTTGGCGAGCATGATAAAGTTCGATGGGCTACAACAAAGATTCGATCGCTACGACAAGGAACACGCTCTGCATCAGTCTATGCCTCGGATTTCAGACAATTGGCAAGTGACATTAATTGGGGTGAAGAGGCATTGGTGAGTCAGTTTTATTGGGGCTTGAAGGATGATGTGAAGGACTTGCTGTTATCTCTTCCTGATCCTCAAACGCTCAACGAAGCTATTAGCCAAGCTGTAAAGTGTGACAACCGCCTATTCCAGCGTCGCCAAGACCAACGTCCAAGACACCAAATGACTCGTTACGACGTGACTATGTCTGCAAATAGCTTAAACTCACATTCGGAGGCAACAGACATGCAAATCGACACGGCGCGTGTCCGATCTCTTACTCCAACAGAGAAGAAACGGCGTATGGAGGAAGGGTTATGTTTGTATTGTGGAGAAGAAGGTCACAAGGTTAGAAATTGCCCAAAGAAGCAAAATTGGCACCCTGTCAAGACTAGAAGTGCGATGATTCCGGAAAACGACGATGCCCAGCCACAGTAGGAACCGTGCGGCTGGACAATCTAATATCACGACAACAATCAGGTTCCTCCTTCTCTGTCCAACCTGCCCGTTGTTTTACAATTCCTTTGTTTTTAGGCCCTCAAAAACAAAAAACTTTAGCTTTATTGGATTCAGGGGCATCTACTTGTTTTTTAGATGAAGAGTTTGCTAAACGCCACAAGATCCGTTTAGTACAGAAGTCCAAACCTGTTCACGTAGAGGTGATAGATGGACGACCCTTATTGTCAGGCAACGTTACCCACGAATCAGAACCTATAGAAGTGGTGTTTAAGGACCATAGTAGTCACGTTATTTTTAATATTATTAGAACCCCATCAAGCCCTGTTATCCTTGGTCTTTCTTGGTTAGAAGATCATAATCCATCCATTGATTGGAGGCTACGAAGGATAACATTTCCTGAAAAAAATAATAATAAACCTGTTGGTAGAACCTATATGAAGAAATCCATGTTTATTGGAGCGAGAGCGTTCCTAAGATCGTCCAAGGAAGGCGCACCATTTGTCATTTATGCAGCTCCAACTAGCGGCGAGAATATCTCAACATCGAATATACCAGAGCAATATAGGGATTTTGAAGACGTGTTTCAGAAGAAGAACGCCGATATACTGCCGGAACATCGACCATATGATTGCGCCATAGACTTAGAGGAAGGAGCGCAACCACCTTTTGGTCCAATATACAACCTATCGCAGACTGAGTTGGCAGAATTGCGGAAGTACATCGATGAGAATCTAGCCAAGAATTT